TCATGTGACACCGCGTGGACTTCCGTTGGATGTCATGTGATACTGAGCCCTAAGGCCAGCATTCTATTGCATCGGGTATATATGCCAAATTTTTTGCTGTCACGAAGAAAAATCTAGGTAATGATCTTGGTAACGCTCTCTGTGACACCCTTATATGCTTTTTTTCAGAGTTTGGAGACGTTTGACTTTCTTCCTTTATATCTGTCACTTTGTCACTAAGAGAACTAAGAAAAAATAAAGTTATAGGAAAAAAAATCAAAATTTTTCTATGCTATCCCTATGGTTATATGGGATATAATATGATATATATATGACATATGCATGATACATATATGCTAAAAAAAAATAAAAAAAGTTAAAAAGTCCGATTTTTATTAGTGACTCTTCGTGACAAAGTGACACCCATCTGAAAACCTTTTGATGGATTTATAAATGCGAATTAGCTATATAAGGGTGTCACAAAGAGCGTCTCCAAGATCGTCTCTATCAATTTTTTTCTTCGTGACAAAAAATTGGGAAAACCATATCCTTAGAGTATGATCAGAATGTTTCTATTTATACTTAATTGCCCACCAGTCTCTGTGTCAAAGCTAAGTCAGCCAGCTTTTTCCGATAGTACTGTTCCATTTTACGGTGCTTTCTGGCATGAATATCACAAGTGCCATATTTGGAAAAGGTTAATTTACCGCATTCATTGCAAGGTACATATGAAGGAGAATTCCGATGTATTTGGCATCCTTTTGGATGGTAGCACCCCCGATTACAAACTTCTCCAGTCCTGAGAATATATGAACATCGATAAAATGCCATTTTTCGATAACTATATATAGCTAGTTTATGTATCGATTTATATATTTTGGAGGGTGGTATGTGTTTATTTACCCTGGAAAAAAATAGACAGTCCTCACCCATCCGAAGTTTATAGCTTATCCGATTCTCATGAGTGTATTGATGCTAACCTGCCTCTTCGCCTTGTTCTGGATATTGATGCGAGACAGAAGCCCGATCCCACGAATCCTAAACTCCCTTCCTTAGATGGATATAAAACATCTCATAACTTTAAATGATTTTGCTAATTCATCTAATGGTAATAAATGCAGTTGGCATATTGTATGTTCTGATGCCTGCTTTATTGACTATAGAGATCTTAGAGGTTTTACCTGTTTTCTTTTTTCGACTATTTTTCTTCAGTGGTAAGTCAGGTGGGTCGATGTTTACTACAGGTAAATACCCACCTGCATAAGTAGTATTAGAAATATCGGCTATTGGTTGATTCCAGGCAATTCTATTAGCTTCTTCGCCTCTCCAAATCTGATATATACGCTTCATTGATGTATTATATTTGACCATCAATTCCTCTAAAACTTTTTTTCTAGGTCTCTCATCATGGCGTTGTATAATAAAATCATAATCAGTTAGTAAAAATGGAGGTGCATTACAATTCATACGCTGTCTAACCATAGTTGTGATGATATTTTTTTTAGATAAAATATTCAAAAAAAATATTAAATAGACTGAATAGAATGAATGTATTCTTTGGGATAAATAGGATAAGTGTATTCCTTTTAATATTTAGAATAAGTATGATAACCCTATTATTTTGAAAATAATATATTAGGATAAATAGAATAAATATATTATTTCGAAAAAATTTATTAGGATAATTAGAATACTTAGAATACTTAGGATACTTAGGATACTTAAGATACTTAGGATGAATGTTATTATTTCAAAAATTATATTTTTTTTTTGCCTAAATTTACAAGGATAAAAAACTATGCCTCGAATCCATACCGTAAATGATATAGGCAATGGTGATGGCAGTAAACTTGGAAGTCCTCCATCCAATCGATATCCACCAAGTCGATTAGAACTTGAAGAACAGCTAAAAAAAGATTGCAAAGAGTTTATAAGATCTGCCAAACAGCTTTTAGCTAAATATCATGTCTTAGATGAAAAAAAAAAGTGTATACAAAATGATCTAGATCACTCGTATGAGGAAAATGCGCGTATGCAAATTGATCTAGATCAAATTACCCTCCTAGCTAATCAACTAAATGGTTTGAATAATAAGCTTGTCTTCCAAATTACTTGCGAACGAAAGTCTCATGCCAATTTTAATGCCAAGCAGTTAAAAGAAATAGAATCACTAAAGTCTATGGTTAAATCACTGGAAAGCATAATATCTTCGATGCAAAATGCTTCATCTTTGAAGGATTCTGATATCATCTCTCTTGGAAGTAAAATAAATGAACTGGAGGCTGAGTTGGAACAAGCTACGCAAAAAGTTTTATTAAAAGATTCTGATGATGACCAGTTGCATAATAATTCCTCCCTTGAGATTAAGGTAAAAGAATTGAAAAATGAAAAGGAGCAAGTTACGCAAAATTCATCATTTAAGGATGAGTTAATTTTCTGTCTCAGGTCTAGGGTAAGAAATCTGGAAGATGAACTAGATCAGATTGTTTCGCAACTGCATCAGTCAATTAATGATTCAAAAATAGGTAGTGCAGAAGCAGATACAATTTTATCATCCAATGATTATACTTTAGCGCCTTTGGCTAAGCGAGGTGTAGCAGTAGAAGAGGTATCCCATTTTTCTTCACACTGCTCAGAGTCTGAACCTGATAAAAGCAAAGTAAAAGATGAGATAGAGTTCTAAGGAGACCATCTTCATGTTGATCAAAAATCAAAAGAAAAGCATGATAGTATCTCAGCCTCGTCCATTGTTGTATTAGGAGCTGGTAAGGCTTTAGTTGATAATCAATATATGCTTCCGCCTATATTCGAACTCATAATACTTGCTTTAGTGATTATACTAATTATATAGTATATATATAAACGTTTTTTTCTGAGAGTCTTATCGCTTAACCACGCTAGGTCTCCGTTTTTACACCCCACCTTCTTAAAGGAAATAATTCCTAACACTATCCCAGGCAGATCCGCTTAGCTATCTCCTGCAGATTCATAACTATTATTTAAGAAATACCACGCTAATACCATTGTCGAATAATATATTTTACTATTAGATCTGAAAAAAATACCATATTAATACCGTGCTATTACCGTGAAATTACGTAATACTATTCTTCTGCAGTTAAGGCTATGATCATCGTAAAAACATGGAACAAATATGGTAATTCTGATGACTATTAATTTGCTGATAATTCAGTTTACAATCTACTTAATAATTCTCCTAAGCAGATACTGGAGACATGATAGGACTCATCATTGATGAGATCTTTTTTTCAAATTTTCCATCACAATAATAATAACCTCCATCATAACCACCGTATCTATTATCATACCCATCATTATCATCCGATCCATATGGTATCTCTTCTTTAGAATCACTAGAATCGTTTTCATCGTCTGACTTAACTGATTGCGAAACAACCCCTTCATTCGTTCTTTTCACTAACTGAGATGCGAAATTTTGCCAAGAAAATTATCAAGAAATAAAATATGTATGTATATTTATGAAATCGACCACCAGGGCCACTTTATTGATACAGAAAAAAATAATAATACATGAAAAAAATATTAAGGAATTCTAGTTATCTCGCATAGGTGAAGAAATTGTAGAGCTTTTTTCTACATTGCGATTTGATCTTTTTAAAGGTGCATTGTACAGTA